CAAACTACAGTCATGGCTTTCTAAAATTCGTCCAGTTTTCCTTTTCTAACCCATCTCTCACATTCAGAGTCATATATCTAAACAATTCTTTTCATATAACTCTTTATAATCCAAAAGCCATAAACAACCACCTCACTGCTTAAAGGATAATGTAAACCTTTTAGCATGGCATTCAAAAGCCATTATTTGAGTTAACCTAGTAGCCAGCCATTCTTACCCTTCCTTACCCCCACTACCTGTTGCTTATCTAGCCCAAGATCCACGTAGCATCTGCTCTAGTGTTATCTCCTTGGGAAGTTAATGGAAATTATGGGAGATGAGGGGAGGCGCCAGTGGTTAAATATGTTTGGCAGATAATTTATTAAATGTTACATTAAACAATATTTCTTACTGTGAAGTTTCTTAGAACTTTTAATGTGTCATTGAGGACATTGTGGGGTATAGTTTTTGCAAACTTGCTTGATTAAATTCTGGGTAACATACTTTAGAAAATATGAGACTGTATCACACTACTTGTTCTCTGATTCTTCACTTTATTCTGTCATTCTTTTTCTGGATTTGTTACTGGTTTTATGGGTGTTTTGTTTGTTTGTTTCTTGGTTTGTTTTTCCTTACCTGGAATGCTTTTCTTACTCCTCATTTATCACCCTTAATTTGTTTCTCCTGCCTGTCAGTAACAAATTCCTAGTTTCATCTTAAATCACCATTTCATTGAATATCTGCTGGTCTTCTGGGTATCAGTCACTCTAAGGAGGGTTACAGTTAAAAAGATTAACAATGCTGGTTCCTGCTCATGTGGAATTTATAATGTATTTGTGCTTTATGTCATTTTGTTAAAAGAGTTAATTCATATATCATTTTGGCTTGTATCATACCTGTTTATGTGGTTTAATAAAAGATACTTATGGTCAAAGTTTAAACAAGCTCTACAGGAGATAGAAAGTCAAAATAAAACACTTCTCTTCCTTTCTACTCCTCAACTACTAACTTTGGTTAACAGTTACTGTAGCAATAGAGAAATTTATGTGTATACAGATATATGTTTGTGTATATATATCTTTTTTCTTTCACATAAATGTGATCATATTTATTTTCTTGACAGCCCCCTAGATTGTTTGCTATTTGAGGTCTAGAGATCATTATTCTGTTTATAATTATACTCTTATTCTATGGCATAATGCCTTATATATGATGTTCAATAAACGTTTATTTGGCTTTATAAAATATGATGGTATTGACCCTTCATATTGGCATCTCCCTTGATTTTATTAACCAAGTTTTAATATTGAATATATATTAATAATTTTTAGAATAATGTTCTTTAACCACTATGTAAGTAATCAAATCCATTCATGGGCTTCAGCAACCTGGTCTTGCCAAACTACTTGTGGTCTCAGTAGTCATTTTTTATTTCTTAACTCAAGACCTCAGCAATTTAAGAGTTTAGCATCTCTGAGTTCCTGGCCATTTGAAGATTTAGCTCCTATCCACTGTGATCACGCACTTTCTCCCCTAGTCTGTCTCCCCTTCCTCCCACCTCTACCCTTTCTGAAATAGGGTTATACAGTTAGCTACTTATTATTTCAAGATTCTGGTGAACCCTCTAACCCACTTAAAAGAAGATTGTACTCCATTTGGAGTCTTCTATAATTAATTCAGAATTTAAGCAGTTTAAATATCAGCTAATCATTGTTATAATTAAATTTCCATTAATAATTCATGCCTTTTGTCATGGGAATTTTATGATTTAAGAGTTTTTTCCTGGGTTAAGAAAGAATCCAATTTACATTTTTTCTTTTCTTCTCCTTCTGTTTGTTGAAATTCAGCTGTTGACAGTGTCTTGAAGAGGATGACAATAATTGGTGTAATTTTATCCTTCCGATCGTTGGCACAAGAAGCACTTAGAGATGTAAGAAACAAGTACATAGCATATATGCAAAGAATCCCTTTTAATTTCCCAGAAATTAAAGGTTACTGTTTAAATTCATAGTTGGCAATAATTAAAATTCCAGTTTTCATAGTTATAGAAAATAAAGTACATAGAAATTAGAGTAATTTAAACTTATTTTTTGTTTTGGTATTGAAATTTGGAGGCTATAACTTGCCTGGTTATATACTCTTTCAACTTTGCTATTCATTAAAGCATTTTCATTTTGATTATACTTGGTTTAACATTGAATCTTTTCCACCATTTCCATGTATCTTGGAACTTTAGAAAAATCACATGAAAATAAAGTAAAATAATTTTTATGAAAACTAGAATTAATCAGATGATAATATTTCATAAGTTTATGTGTTGCTGTTTAAAAATAATTCTGTCTTCTTTGTTGTCCTGCCTAGGTCTTGTCCTACCACATTCCTTTTCTTGTAAGTTCAATTGAAGATTTTAAGGATCACATTCCAAGAGAAACTGATATGAAGGTAATAACATAACTTCTGTTTGAATTTTAATAAATCTTAAACCTACTATATTTCTATTTTATAGTTATCAGTTAATATGCTTCCCTTCGAAATTGCATCTTTGATAGCTCTGCACCAAAATACTACGTAGGCATTTTGAAAGTCTCCTTTGATCATCTTTAGGAATATAAAATTGGTTAAAATTGATATTTTTTCCATAAAATGGTAGCAGTTTATATGGTCGTAGAGCA